GAAGAAAAAAAAAAAACTGTGCATGGGTTTCAAAACTTTTTTTACATGAAAATAAACTTGTGCTTTAATTTTGCTTTTCCCATGAACTTTTAGAAATGTCCTTGTATTAGGGCTCTCCCTAACATTAGATGTCCACATCTAAGTATGCCTTTCCCCCTTTGGGGGCAGTAACCATTCTACCATCTTTTCTATTGAAAAATGTAGTTGGAGATGCTTTCAAACAACTTCACGCTACTGGGACCAGCAGTTGGTGTAATGTCTGTGTCGCTGCACTCCCACATAGTTGACCACAAGTCGAGTCCCAGACCCGGTGGCTTAAACTCACACTGGGTGTGTTTGCATGCTTACCCAAGATCCCGAGAGGAGAATGGAGGAGAAGGGATTGTGACATGGCCATCCCCCTGGGGGGTGATTTCTCACTTTCTGTCTCTATGTCTCTCTCTGTCTGTCTGGCGAGCGCACGCGCCCTACAGTGAAAATCTCTCAAAAAAAAACAAAAACAAACAAACAAAAACAACTTCATGCTACTGAGACCATTCTGCCATGGCAGTTTAGCCTCTCAGAGCCTGCTACGTGATCCTTCATTGAGAAAGAGAGCAGGATATCATGAGCCCACGTGCGGCAACTCAATGAGGTGTTTGTCTCCAAAACAAAATCTTGGGATATCTAAGCCAAGTGTATTTATTTGCCCGTGTTACCTTAGGAGAAGGATTTCCTAAAATGCACGTGTCCTCTCACTCTCTCTGTACCCATAGTCAGAATGGGCTGTGGAGGTACAATGTGCAGGGTTTTCTGCATCATGTGAATCAAACGTCTGTAACTCGAAAACAACAGAGGAATGTATTTCATTTTTCGTTCCCACAAACTGTAGGCAAATCTTCACTGCCATTTAAGGTAACTTTCTGCTTGTTTAAGAATATTCCAGCTGTGTTTATGGTGTTGCGGCATTCCCCTGCCAACACCCTTGACAAATGAATTGGCAATATTTTGGGGGCTGTTGGAGAACACAGACTGGATTTAGCCATTATATCCTCATTTGTTTTTGTTGGATTTGATCAGGATATTAGAATAGAACTTTTGACTATTAAAACATGTGCATGGAGAGGAGTCCGTTTTGATCACATTTTAGCCTGCCTACACAATGCCTAGATATGTGAAAACTTTTATCACATGCTCCTTGGATTATTGACTGCCAATATAGAGGACGGTGCATTAGAATATTCCTTCTTATGCCCTAATATTATACTGTTAGCATATTCTAATAAATTCTGCCACTGCCAAAAAGAAACAGCAAGGAAAATTGGCTGTATTGAGATTGTCCTTGGGCTAAGTAGGAATTTATAAACAAATTTTCTATAGGTCACAATCCCTTTAATATTGCACAAGATATTTTAAGTTGATGCTTCTTGCAATTGAAATACAGCAAGCTATTGTACCCCTTCCAAAGAAGGAGCAGAAAAGAAAGAGGCTCTGCATGGTCCCTGTTTTTTTTTTTTTTTTTTTTTGGAGAGATTTTCACTGTAGGGCGCGTGCGCTCGCCAGACAGACAGAGAGAGACATAGAGACAGAAAGCGAGAAATCACCCCCCAGGGGGGATGGTCACGCCGCAATCCCCTCTCCTCCATTCTCCTCTCGGGATCTTGGGCACGCACGCACACGCGCCCGGCGTGAGTTTTAAGCCACCGGGTCCGGGACACGAACCGCGGTCGACTACGTGGGAATCCAGCGACATAGCCATTACGCTAACTGCTGGTTCCCCATTGTCCCTGTTTTTTAAAGTGCTAGTGCTTTTTGGTTTTGGTGGGATGGGCGGGGAAGGGGGGCGATGGGCAAGGGTACAGAGCAAGAATTCATCTAGTTCTCTCAAGATTCTCTTGCAGTTGAGAGAAAAGGTGGAACACCTGAGTTAAGATATCCTTTCGATTGAAATGACAAGTGTAATAGATGTGTTCCAAAATCTTCTCTGTGAAGGACTACGTACTTTCCTTAGATCCTGTCTGTAGGAGGAAATTACTTTGAGAAACCTTTCCCCAGTCAATCATTTATCTGTTTTAGCAGCACGAAGGCACCCTTGCCGAAATAAAAGGAATTCAACTCCTTTCATTTCGGTTAGCAATCCTCTGACATTGTGAATTGAGAGACAATAAATAATTGCAAGCTAAAGTATAGGTTGGACACAGGTTTTAAGAAAGTAATATACATTCTGTCTTACCTGAACCCCCTCTCCACCAAAAAATAAAGAAATGCAGTTTCCCTATTTTGATACCTGTATATTTTGCCCTCCCAGTCTAAGTTTCTCCTCCAGCATTTTAGTCAGTAAGACCTTAACTATTCTAGACGGTTCAATATGGTGTCTTATCAGACCTTTGGACACCACATTGAACCGTCTAGAATAGTTAAGGGCTAACCCTACAAGAAGAGAACCATTGTCTTGTCAAGACTCAATGAATGCCTCTACACACAGAAGTTCATGTTTAGTAAAGATAGACAATTACAACCCAAGTTATGTCTCTGCTATAGAAAGCCTTCTAGCTGGAGGACCAGCAAATGGTGTAATGGCTACATTGCTGGACTCCCACGTAGTCAACCATGGTTCGAGTCCTGGAACCGGTGCCTTAAACTCTCGCCAGGCACGTGTGCATGTGTGCCCAAGATCCCAAGAGGAGAATGGAGGAGAAGGGATTGTGGCGTGGCCATTCCCCCAGGGGGTGATTTCTCGCTTTCTGTCTGTCTCTCTCTCTCTCGCTCTTTCTCTCTTTCTGGCAAGTGCATGCGCCCTATATCAAAAAAAAAAGAAAATTCTCCAAAAATAAATAAATAAATAAGAAAAAAAGGAAAGCCTTCTAGCTAGCTTATAAGAAAAAGCCAGTAGCCAATATTTTCCCCCTGATAAAATACATATTTATCTTCAGTAGCATCATTTTGTTACTTTTCTAATCAAAGTACATTTCAAAGTAATTACAATCAGCACTCAAAATGTAAGCAACAAATATTTTGAGAACTGAGGAATAAAGTAATAAGCAATAGCCAGTCTTAATGGTAGGAGCTTATGTGATCTTATGCTAGTAAAATGTCATGAACTGGAGACCAAATCCTAAAGCCACCAATATATCTTTAGTAGTGTTGAATAGAGAATTAAAATCTATCTGTGGGACTGCCATGACCTCCTGTTTTAAAGAAATCGCAAAGGTTAACAAGCTACCATTTCAAGAAACATTAGGTTCTGAAGTTGCTTGACTTCCTCTAGCATGACATAGTGAAATTTTTCAACCTGCATTCCCACTTCATAAATGACACAGTAATGTTTTTTCTGTTAAGTAATTGAACATTGCACAGAGTGCAGGACTTGACAGAGGCCCCTAAGGAGACAGCTTCTCTCTTACTACACCACTGCCAATAGAATAAAAAGGTTAAAGAAGTCGTCATATATGTCAGATCAGTTTTTTGGATGGGGTAAAGATTGTATAATTAGAAGCATCAGTCGAGTTTTTAACTGCAAATTTCATAGAGGAAAGGGCAATGGTTCGAGTTTATAGAGAGAATTTTATTTCCTGTTGCTGATACTTCTCTTTGCAGACCTGTTAATTGATACATATTCCTCGCTAAGTTACTTTTTTAAAGTTCTGCTATTGTGGAATTGTGGTAAATGCATAAACTGTGCCTTATTGATCCTTGTTGACATTTTTCATTTTTTAATGCATTCTTAACCTCCATTTGGAAACTCAGTTTGGCACGTGTTCCTGAATAATAAGAGCAAATGAAGTGAACGCAACAATCTTCTTGACTATTAAAAGCAGAATTAGTCCAGGGTTCGCATGGTTTCAAATATATCTTCATTAGATGAATTGCCTTTTCTCCATTGTAGTTTCAAGAAATAGAAAAATAAAAGTCTCTTAGTGTTATTTCCTCTGTTAATAGTGTTGGTGATGATTATAATGCCTTTGAAGAGATGTTACTTTGAAACAGATGGTAAATTTGGGACTCTAATTTTAGAGCTCTGCATCAATATGGAAGCCAGTGGAGGTACTGTCATCTGTCTCACACTCTATTACACACATCGTCTAGATGCCTTAGAGAAGGCCACCAAATTGCTTTTATTGATGACAAAAGCTACAGTCAGACTAGGTATAGGCAGTTGTTTAAATAGTTAAGCTTTATCAACTGCCATATGAGTACTGTCAGAGAACTACATTAAACAGCTTTGCATTCATAGTGAGCTAGACTTCACTGAGTCTTCTTAAAGCCAGCATTACCAAGAAGTGAATGTGAGATGAATTTCCCATCTACTGAGAGCTTTGTGCATGAGAACTTACAACATGATGCAAAACAAATGCATTGACTTATTTTCATGACTGAATATCATTGTCCTTTGAGGGTAACAAGCAGGCATTGCTTGCTCTTATTGCTGTTTGATTAGAAGGTGCTACTACAGTATTGACTTGATAATCTCACCAGGTACACATGCAGAGCCAAAGAAGAAGATATATTTTATGGCTTGCAAATTGATTTACATAAACCAAACAATTGCTGGTAGTTTGAATATAGAATGTTCTATTTTGTTTATTGGCCACAGGGGCAACAATCTCATATCCTTTATGCCAGATTTCTGCTTTCATGCATTTGTTCTGAAATGACAATCAGCTTCAGCCTCTCAGTGTTTAGATCTGCTTCATTTGGAAATCTTTTAAGTAGTAATAATAATAATGTTTTGAGGAAATTGAGTGGAACACTAAATTATTCTCTGATACCTAAGTTCAAACTGTGCAAGGCTAAAGAAGCTGAAAATCAATGCACTTTTAAAGTCATTAGGGATCATAAGTGAAATAAGTCTGTGTTGCTTTAGCTAAGCTTTTAGTGTGCTGTGGTATTATTATAAAATCAGCCTGAATCTGCATTAATTTCACAGTCTTTTTCTCTTACGAAGCCCAAGGGTGCATGATGAATAAAATGTAAATTTCAGAAGGCAGTGTTTTTATTAGTGAGAAGAGCAGTGAGCCGTGTAGTTGGAGCAGTGACCTGCATGGTGGCCAACACTGGTATAAGAAGCAGGAACAGGCACCATAGATTCTAGTTATTTTATAGCATAAGAAGAAATAGACATGGAAGGCTTTATGGGTCTCACAGGAAGCATTCAGAGGAATGCATATTCTCTTCTGTATTTTGGACTTTAGGTCTAATATCTGATACCTTACAGAAAGTCACAACTTTAAAAAGTGATGAAGATCTGTGTACAAAAAATTTATTGTACATTTTCAAATTTGACTATGTGGACTGTTGAATATTCTCAAAGTAATGAAGCATTTCTTTTTGTTAATAATAATTACTACATGGTTTGTGACGGATTTGGTATATTTGTTTGTATTCCAATAGCATAAATTTCTACGTGTGTGTATATATATATATACTTATTTATATTTAACTACCCAGAAGGGATTAGTCGTTTTTATTTGCTGACATTTGGAGCTCTTGAAATACATTTGCTAATTTGCCCTTGGTGTGAGGATTTTCTTATTTGCTTCTTAAAAATCAACCATAAAATTTGAAATACAAAGCCCTGATATGTGGATGCCCTCAGTAAAGATAATCAGCCAAGGAGAAAATGGAAAATAACAACTTTTTATTCTAGAAAATGCAAAGTAGACCTTGCTAATTTCAAATCTTGTGCCTAAAAAAGTACCCAGTTTCATCCCCTAGTTTTCATTTTAAAAATAAACAAATAAATAAATAATTCTTTTGGCTTTGGTCAGATTAGCAAGTCAGCACTGTAAATAAAAATAAGATAAAACCAAATAGAGAAGTTGTTTATTTTTATGTACTACTGAGAACAGTGTCGTCTTGTGGCAGTTCTCGTAGACTGTGTTGGTTTAACAAGCGTCCAACCCTTTTGTCTTGTTGTTTTTTGTCTTTCCTGCTCCCTGTCCCCTTGTTTCCCACAGGCTGTGCGTTTGTCACATTTTCTACAAGGGCAATGGCACAGAATGCAATCAAAGCCATGCATCAGTCTCAGACCATGGAGGTACTGTATCATCTGCCCTTTCTTTGTTTTCTTTGTGCAAATGATGGGGAATGATAAAGCAATTCTCTCCTGTGTGGATTGTTCACATGACAATCACAGATTCAAACTTTCACCATCTCGCTTTTCATTCATTCATATTCATTCTTTCTCTCTCTCTCTGCATTTTTCCCCTAATGACTTGAAATGCATTTAGTCAAACCTCCCTTTTGCTCTGCAGTTACTGTTTGAGCCTTTTATTGCAGTTGCACAGGTCCTGTGATGTGAAGTCATGATGCACTTTAAGCAAAGTGTCACCTGGACCTAACGGATCAAATACATTCCCCACCTTGGGCTTGATATGGATTAAACAGTTAACAGTCCTCATCCCAAATTGCTACTTGCCCTGTGCTAAGTCTCAAGGCTCTTTTTTTATACAGGGTCAAGTTATCTTTAATCTCATCAAACAGAGTTGTGTTTTCACATCAGGAATAGTGGAGAAAGTTAATACTTCTCCCACTTCATTTAACAGTGAAAATACTAATTTATGAGAGTCCCCTGAAAAATTAGATTTCTCTCCTTACTAAAAATGAGCAAATAACAAAGAAACATAAAGGCTCAAACTTGGTCTCCTAATGAGAAATAGTGGCTTTAGGGGAAGATAAAATACACCCGTGTGTATGTACATCCACAAATGTAGATAGATGGCTCTGTTCTTTCAGTCTGTGATTTGGGTCATGGCCTTTCAGAATTTTGCACAAAAGCATTCCAAGAGTGATATGCTGTTACTTATTCTGTATTGTCTGATATAATCATTTGGGAGTGCATGTTCTGCTGTATCATGTACACTGTATCTTTGTGTATGGGTGATCTTTTCTGGAGGTGGCCTTGTGGTGTTATCTGAAGCTATGTTTCATATTTTCAAAAAAGATATTTTCAATTTTATTAAATGTGCAGAAAATTTATTGACTGAGCTTCTTTTTTACCCCCATTTCATTGGGGTTTTATTTTTTGTTTGTTTGTTTTTGTTTGTTTTTTGCAATGCTGCATCTCCCACAGCATGCTGGGAGCTAAGTGATCATTATGCGTCATGTTTTGTGGGCAGACTTTTTTATAGTGAATCAAAAGGTGGGTGGAAAGGGGCAACGAGTGTGCATGGCCTTGTCATTAAGTGTTTACTGTACTTTTCTGAGTTGTGATATCAGCATTGCAAAGCCTATTGTCTTTTTCAAACATTCATTTTGACTTTGATATTCCTAACATATATAATCAATGTGTTTTCCTTTCAGTGCAATGCATTTTTAAGACACTCACACACCCCTACCTGAAGGCAAGCTCAGATGAAAATCGGCCATAATAGGAAATAATTAGCAAGATTTGAAATATCCAGGAATCCAATCAGTACAACATGCACTTACATACGTGATCATGTTTTGGTTCCCTCTTTCTCTTAATGTAGGCTGCTCAATTACTGTGGACGAGTCTGATTTCCAGTTTAGAGATTAAAATGAAAGTGCTGTTAGGGGGGGAAAAGTCTCTATTTGTATATATCTTCTATTTATGTGTTTTATTATTAATTATTTTTATTTCCTGTAATTTAGTGAACTGTAGCCAAATTGGTCTCACTTTAGGTAATATTTTAACCTAAATTCTTTCAACTCCGTCAAAAGCATTGCTATCCCCTTTCCTTCATTTGGAGTCCCCTGAGTAATGCCACAGAGAATGCTGATGGGAATCCATGCTTCCTGTGTTACTGTAGAAAGACGGGGAGCTCAAAATCATAAAGCAAAACTGGGTATGAACCAAAACCAAGAGAATAATAGGTTCTCATAATGGAAAGAATTTGTCATAGGGGATGAGGCATATTTATTCTTAAGAAATCCTTGAGAGACCAGTAGACGGCTTAATGGTTCCATCACTGGACTCCCACATGGCTGACTACGGTTGAGTCCCAGACATGGAGGCTTGAAACACACTAGGTACTTGTGCGTGCATGCCCAAAATGCCAAGAGGAGAATGGAGGAGAAGGGATAGCGGCGTGGTCATCTCCCCTGGGGGATGATTTCTCGCTTTCTGTCTCTCTATGTCTCTGGCAAATGCACACACCCTACAGCAAAAATCTCTCTCAAAAGAAAAAAAAAAGAAGAAAAAAGAAAAGAAAGAAATCCTTGAATTGAACCTTTATTTATTATCAACATGTCTATTATGAAAAACATCAAATTTGTTATACTTGTTTTTAAAAGTGAACATCCACCCATGCTTTAAGGGGCCCTCAGACACTTAAATTTCTTGTTTAGTTTAATAGAAAATTTTAAATTTAAATAGATTATATATTATGAAGTCATATTATAGTTGTCCAACTGGAGTTGCTAGATTGTTTGGTATTTTTGTTTTTTTAACTAACTACATTATTTTCAGGACTTGACATACATCTGTAAGCAAGATGTATTATGTAATTCGAAATGATGTGACTATTAAGAGAACAAGGTCTTTAAAACAATTAATTTTATATTGTACCTCTTATTTCTCTACTTTCCTCCACTTATCCTTACCCTGTTTTTCTCTTTCATGGTTTAAACTAGTCATTTTTAAAGCTGTTAGCGTTGGCCTAATTTCTGATTTTATATAATTTTTTAGTATTAAGGAAAAAAAACAACAATAAATGTACTGTTAAGAGGAAACACTATAATTTGTTATGGAACAAATTTGCTACAACAATAAAAGCCCTTTGTATACAGAATCCCTTCTCTGTGTAATTTCCATCTTCAGAGTATGCTGCTCTCTGAAGTGATGAAGTGTTGAAGTTTAGAGCAGATTAAGAAAAATGAATTATAGATTTTTTAAATGGTGGAAATATTATTTTTATGCAATTTACAGACAGTTAACACTCTGTACCATGTATCTGCCAACCAGAGCTCAAGACTGGTAGGCTGGAAGTTGAACATTTTAACAGTCCTCTCATTTTTCTCTCTTTTTTAAAAAATCACAGACACGATAGCCTCATGTATTCATAGCTACATCCCCAATAACTACCCAAGGTGAAAAAAAAAAAATGCAAGTTTGTTTTTTTGAGAAGAAAGAAAAATTACCCAAAGGGAATGAAAGAGAAAAACTCATTTAAATAGAAATATAACATTTCTGAGAGGAGAGAGGTCTATTATCATGCTGAGTTTCAATAAAAGTTTTTATTTAATCACTTGGGTAGAATTACTTCTTTTACCTCAGCAAAATTTAATAGCTTTAATTGTTATGCAATATGTAGGCAAAGCATACTAAGAAGGAAAAAAGATTGGGGAAGGAGGAGGGTAGTTTCTTTCTGCTGAGTCTTAACCAAGTGGCAAATGTTTCAAAGGTACTTGGAAAAGGAGGTCTTCATGCTTGGGGTTTTGGCCATTACTTTCCATGACATTTTTATCCATTTCAAAAATAAATTTATTCCATTATATGGGCCTGTAGACATGTCTTTCTCACTACCCCTACCCATTGCCTTTTAAAGGAAATTAAAACTGAAAGAAGCTCCTACAGTAGTAAGATTCATTAGGGAAAGAAGCCAAGCAGAATCCTCCTTCTGCCATTTCATATACATATCTCCTTTGACTGGAATGTGCTCCTGGTAGTTTTGGTTTGCAAAAGCTCCAGGGATTGCAGATGGAGTAGATATGATATGAAGGAAGAAGAGAGACCTTTCAGAAAACACGTGAACAATTACTTTGGTCAATGCCTATGTCTTCTAAATATCTCCTTCCTTCACTCACATTCCTAAAATGAAATCCACTTCTCCCTATTACAGCTAGATCAGTATGATTCCCATAGTTCCAAGTTCAAAAATACATGATGAAAATTACAGTTAAAAAAAAAAAATTGAGAGACGTTTTCATTCCCATTACAATTTCTCTCCCTCTTTGTCCTCTGCTCACATGTGGAAATTAGCAGACACAAGAGCCTATCTTAAGATAAGCAAACTATAAAGTTGAATTAGAGAACTTTGATATGGTCTGTTGTCTCTAAGGAGGTCCTGGAAAGTTGAAGGAAGACACATGAAGAGAAAAGGAGAGGCAGTTTAATTATCAGAACAAGAAAGCAAATGGCTTCAACGACCACCAGATCCCCCAAAGAAACTGATGATACCTGGAATTTTCTGTTGGTGGTACTTATTCAGAAAAGAAGGAATATCAAACCATTAAAAAATATATTCCGGGCCATTCCATGTGCTCCAAGATAGCTAAGAACGCTAGAGCCCTTGCTGACTGAGTATCATGAGAAGATTCAAGCAGGCTGTAACTTCCTCTTCACTTTCCAATGTGTCTGACCACAGGGCTGCTCTTCACCTATCGTGGTGAAGTTCGCTGATACTCAGAAGGACAAAGAGCAAAGGCGCCTCCAGCAGCAACTTGCACAGCAGATGCAACAGCTCAACACTGCCACCTGGGGGAACCTGACAGGCCTGGGCGGACTTACCCCACAGTACCTGGCGGTAAGTGCTGAGAGTCAGGAAGAGAGGACGGGACCTCTGTGCCTCTCAGAACCTATTGGGTCATCTGAGAAAGTCATGACACATTTCTGCCTAGAAAAATATGTCATGATTCTCCTAAAGACCCGATGCTTTCCCCCTAAGTACCTCAAGAATTCATTTTCTATACATTTTGAGTCTCAGGAAATTATTGAAATAATCATTTATGCAAAATATTTTTCCAAGTTATATTGACTACCATAAGAACGTGACCAGTGTAATTCTTACCTGATGTAGGGTGGGCAAAGTCCCACAGGCCAAACACCTAACCAGTATTTGAAAGGTATCGTAAAACCTTGTGTTGGAAGAGACAGAGCAGGCTTGATAGCTGTTTGACAGTCCCGAGACAGCGGTGACTGGAGAACTCTCTGTCTCGGAAGTTAGTATATACCTGTCAGGACCTTAACTGAAATGTCCTGGAACTTGTGTTCCATAATTTGGGTCTTCCCAGGGGAACTATGCTGGTAAAATCAAATGTTCCTTACTTCATCCATAGGAAATGAAAAAAGTCAGATACTATTTCAGGCCAGATGAACCCAGTTCATTCAGCCATCCTTTACATCTCAAGGTTTCTAAATTTTCACTTTCCTGGGGTTTTTTTGTTGTTGTTCTACTCTTTTCAGTTTGTCATTGACTAGCTAGCAAGTGCTAAACAGGATAAAGAAATATCCCTGGGAGTGGACTTTAAAATATCTTACTGCAGGGGCCAGCAGGTTGCATGGTGGTTAGAGCACTCCCTCATAGCCACTGCAAGTTCAAGTCCCGGACCTAGCGGCTTGTTTTCTCGTTTTCTCTCTTTCTCCCTTTCTCTCTCTGGTGGGCATATGTGCCCTATAGCAAAATTTTAAAATAATAATAATTAAATCTTTTTTAAAAAAATCCTATTACAACTTGGGACCAGCAGTTAGTGTAATGGCTATGTCACTGGACTCAATTTAGTAGACCGTGGTTCACGTCCTGGACCCGGTGGCTTAAAACTCACACTGGGCGCATGTGCGTGCATGCCCAAGATCCTGAGAGGAGAATAGAGGAGAAGGGATTGCGGCGTGGCCATCCCCCCTGGGGGGAGGGGGTGATTTCTCACTTTCTATCTCTCTGTCTCTCTGTCTGGCGAGCACACGCGCCCTATAGTAAAAACCTCTCCAAAAAAAAAAAAAAATCCTACTACAACTTAACAGTGACATTTGCAGGAATCCTGTCAGATGTAGACAGTATGGCAGCAAATATTCCTAAATTTTTATTTTTTACTTGAACTGGTAAACCAGGTTCCTCTACTTTCTGCTTTGGAGCCTAGATTGTGGACTTCACACTTATGAATATAATTTCATATTGTGAGTTTGAACCTTTGATATCAGCCTCTGAGAGAGAGAGAGAACGTGTGAGAGGGTGTGTGTGTGCATGTATGTGTGTGTGTGCATGCGCATGTGTGCACATGCACACACTATGTCCTGATTCTGTCATTTTACATTTCAACTATCCCTCTCAGGACTATATCATCCATTAGCTTTACTTTCTAACAGAAGCTGTGCTACTTTGTAAAATAGTCCTCCCTATTACTTTGAAAGGTAAGATTATGCTGCTTGTTGTACAGACTAGAAAAGGGAAGTTCAAAAAGCCTAAGTAACTTTACCCAAAATCATACAGCTGCTAGTGGTTGCTTCTCCGGGGACTCTGAATGCAGGTAGGAATCTCTGTCTTTTAGCTGCCTGCCCCAGTGCCCAGTGGAGTCTAGTATGGAATAGCTGTGCAGTGCATAATTGATTAATGAATGAGAAGCATGCTTTCCCTGTCCTCATCTGAGTGGTTAACAAAAACATTAGACAAGTTTACTGTCACCTTTTGGCCATCTATCTGTCTTCTCTACAATGATACTGTGAGAGATGTCTGTCAGATGGTGTGCCAAAATCTATGAATATATAAACTCTGTCTTATCTTTTTTCTGATTTATCACTCTAGAACTTTTATTTCATAGAAACACATTTCACTTCATAATTTTTCACAGGCTTGTGCTGTTCAAGTACTCACAGAACATTGACATAATCATGTGTACCAGAATTTTCATTGAAGATTGACGCCAAGCTCACCTTTTCATAGTTAAGAGTTCAGTTTCCTGCTCCGCCATTTCTGAAAACCAAAAAGACATGCTCCTGCCCTCAGCCTTCTGGCACATCTCCCATGCTCCACTGCTTACACAGAAATCTGTGGCATGTTTCTGTGACCACATCTACCAGAAAGAGAATTAATCCTAGTCTCATTTAGGAAAATACGTTTTTGTAAGCTCTTACTAAGTTTTCTCCTTTAATAAGTTTCACTTCTTTCTTAAGTATGCTTGTTCTATGCATTTCAGTTGAAAGTCCTTTTCTGTGAAGGGTCCTTGGCCTTCTCTGTCTCTGTATTTAACAATAGGCCCTGGCCCTGGCCCTGGCTTGCAGGAATTGATGATCCATGGAAATGATCCTTGGTAATGGTTTAATGACACTACTTAGTGTTATTAATTCTTCCAAATAGCTTCAAAACGAATTGAATGTTGCTTAATTTTGATTTTTAAAACATCTAGTATGAGGAGGTGGCTTGGGCCTTGTAATCACAAGAGAATGGGAAACTCAACAAATCATACTAAAATAAGTATTTCTCTCTATTAAAATGGTAATCCCTAGCTTATCCCACCCACCTCTCCCTCACTCTCTTCATCTTTCTGTGTGACAGTATGAGTGTGAGAGCATGTGTGTGCATATACGTGTATGCACAAATAATACCTGGGCAGTATGTTCCAAGGACTCAAAAGGGCTGAATGAACATTACAGACATTTTTCAGATAGTATCTGTTAAAGTTAAGGCCTATGACATCCTTGTACCTGAGACTTGGACACCATTGTGATACTTTTATGGCAACGGATAGAAGCCCATTTTTGAGTCATAACCAATTTTATAGTTTTTCATATGAAACTGAAGAGACCTGTACTTGCCCAGAGGAATAATGTTCTATGTTACATTGCACTCCAAATAAATTCTGAAAGCTGTTTTTGAAATAGTGAATTCCACTTGTTCCTCCAAACCACATGGTATTGTAGCAGTATTTCAGTAATGACTTTGGTGAATACACTTCTTGGTATCCATGTCCCTTTCAATATAGGAGATAACCGTGTGGTTGCCTCCACATACGAACTATAACTATATTGATCTACCTTACCAAAAACAGTTGCAGCAAATCTAGTCCAGCAGTTAGTACAGCCTCTGAGCTAACCTGCAGTCCAAGTACATTGGATATGTGCAGGAGCATGCGGACAGGAGCATGTGCTTCCACCTATGCCACCCCCTGACTCTACGTGGCAGGTCAAATGTGCTTTTGAATCCTTTAGGGAGAAATGCAGATTTTTCACAGGTATATGAATTTACTTTTTTAAACTAAATTTTAAAAATTTATTTTAAATTTTAAAAATTAAATTCTGAGACCAGCAGTTAGCATGATGGCTATGTTGCTGGACTCCCATGTAGTCGACTGCAGTTCGAGTCCCGGACCCAGTGGCTTAAACTCACGCCAGGCGCGTGTGCGTGCGTGCCCAAGATCCCAAGAGGAGAATGGAGGAGAAAGGATTGTGGCGTGACCATCTCCCCTACGGGGTGATTTCTCGCTTTCTGTCTCCCTGTCTGTCTGTCTGGCGAGCGCATGCGCCCTATAGCAAAAACCTCTCCAAAAAAATAAATAAATAAATTCTGATTCATTTATAATGCATAGTTTCCACATACATTGCACCAAACAGTTCAAAGTTCTGATAAATAATGTTTCTCTCTGCCAGTGAAGATCATCTTTAAAATGGCTGATATTATAGTTAAATCTATGAATAGATATATTTATGTTCGTAGTTATTATGACGGTCTTTATGGTGGCCTTGGAGTCACTGAGTCCATGTGCTTCTAATGAGACCACATCAAGAAGTGAAGTAGAAGAGATGGAATGGACCTTGATTGACAGAGATGAGTTATGGTAACTACTAGACTACAGAGAGATATAATTAGTCACGCTATGTTGGTTTCAATAGATTTAACACCTGGCTGTTAAAAAGAGTAAATTGATTAATTGTTTTAAGGCAGCAGCGTTAGTGAGTTTCCCTGGTGTCTGTGTTTCTTAATACAGATTAGACATTAATATGGATTTACAGCCTCAACTCTGGGGACCTTCAGTCCATCAATAGGCAGCAGCAACCGATGACATAAATGCAGAGGAAACGGAATTTGCCCCCTTAAATCGGCAGTTACTTTGTTCTCCTCATACTGTTCTGACCTTGCCCTTGTGCCTTCATTTGCAGCTCCTGCAGCAGGCCACCTCCTCCAGCAACCTGGGTGCATTTAGTGGCATTCAGCAAATGGCTGGTAAGTTGTGAAGCATGCCTTTCCTTTTGACCATCCAATTATTTGAAATTTGGGTGGTGTGAGGGTGAAGAAAAGAAACAGGGATAAGGGAGGGAGGACGCGGAGTGATTGGAAGGCCTATTAACTCTTGTCTCTGTATTAAATTGGAACCAGCTGCTCTGAAGTGGCTCTCCTACCGCTCACATTGCCTGCCCACCCTTCACTATGAGTAATGTTTATAAAAATGAAGGGGCAGGGCTGGCACAGAGGTGGTATGACTCTCAGGAAGGGCTGGATTCCATTGGTGGCTGTGGTTACAATGGAGTCCCCTTGCCTCACCAGCCTGAGGCACATCAGGCACATATGCAAGTACCCAGGATCCAATGGGCTGGAGAGCTGAGAGTGGAGAATCATAGTGTGACCAGACCCTGTGGAGGGTGTGTCTGTGCATCTCTCTCTGTCTCTCTCTTTCATGCTCTATTAGGAGTAAAATGAGAAAAAAAAAAGGAAAATCAAATGAACAGGCTGAGAATCCTGCATAGTATACTCTAGTCATTTGTTGTTTTTAAAATGGAATTGATTACTGGTGAATTTTTAACAAGATTCCTATATCCAGGGCAGCCAAAAACATTGACAACCCTCTAAAATTAATAATAGACAGTCAATAAAAATGTTCTGACCTCCACAATAAAAGCCAAGATTGCAGGCCTATCTTTGATACAGTTTGCAGTCCCCTGATGAAGACAGACAATTAACAGGGTGCCTTTTTTACTTTAGTACCCCAGTTGACAGAATTGTTCATCAGAAGCTTTTATGTGAAAGTATAATCTTTGTTCTTGAGAAAAATCAAAGTGTGACTGTATTTGAAAGCCAGCTCATTGAAGGATTCCTTTTTATAATGAGCTGTGCCAGTAGTAACTGAGGTGCAGTGATTAGCAAAAGGTCATTCCTACTGTGCCACCGTCCATGCTGATATCCTAACGTAACACGGGGCCAGGGAAGGCCGCATGTGCAATAAATCAGAACACAGGTGCCCATTAACCTACCAGGGGGAACAGTTAGAAAGCTCTTGCCTCGTTTGATTCCAAAAAGGTTAGGGAGAAGGGACAAGGGAAAAAACAGATTTTTGGCATCTTAGAATCAAGCACAGTTTATTTTAATCAAGGACTCTGAATCAATGTGATGAAACCTGAATGTGTAGAATAAAAACAAGATTTACCCATCATTATGAAAACTCCTTTTTCCACATTTCTTTTCTTTCTTTCTTCCTTCCTTCCTTCCTTCCTTCCTTCCTTCCCTCCTTCCTTTTTCCAAATATACATCCTCATTTTTTGTTTGTTTCACTGTGATTGTCAACCAGCCTGCCACTGTGGCCTGTAAGCAATGGTAGCTTGTTGTCTGATGGGATTCACTGGTCTACTATAAAAAAGCTGCTGAATTATTGTTGGGCTTTAAATCTGTTGGTACCACCAGCTCGTTCCATTGTCAAACAGCTTTTGAATCATTAGAAAAATATACATTGAAATGATAGTTAAAAGTCATTCAGCATAATCTATAAGAATACAGTTTTGGAAACTGGCCTTGGAGCTAAGAATCGCATAGAATAGTTTTGTCTTTAATTCTATGAAGACAGCTGGAGAAACACAAAGTATTCAGGAGGTGGTCTCTATTTTATAAGACAAATTCTCCCATCTGCAAGCTCTAAAATAAATGCTGAGATTTGTCACACTTTTGGCAGATGGGAGATTTGTTTTTCTTTAAATAGTATGGGCCCACCCTTAAGGAAAGGGGTTTTCCTTAGAGAAAGCTTCAGGCTCCCCACTCCCACAGTTAAATAATTCAGAGAAGGTCATTAGGTCCCAAGGCTACTGCAGAGCATGTCTTCCTGGGTGGACAGAGTGCCCTGTCACTTCTCATTAGGATGTGTGCGCCTCTGCCACGCCAACCGCAGGTCAGGGTGTTAGCGCTGACATGCCCTGCGCACTCATTTGAAGATCCAGGGTATCTTGGAGTCACCTCATAAGGTGCTATGGAGCAGATGGCTCATTTAAAGATATTCTGTAAGCGCTCTCGGGCTTCCCAGAATATCCATTTCTTGAACCTTCGACATATTCAGTTCAGCACACTGAGTCTGCTTAGGTTGAGAAATCAAATGTTAAACAGTTATCTACTATCATCTTGAATATTTAGAAAACTGAACATGTAGATGTCAACGCTCTGTCTGCTTGGTGATCTATAAAGGGTATTCTTTGTTTATGTGGGTCTCATCTTCATAAGTATTTGAAGGTATCTTTGGGAGTATCTTTTATTCCAGTGAAGAAAAGTTACATGGCCTCTTCTACTCTTGTCTTGGCCCAAAAGCAGGGCTTATCTTTAGTCCTTCCCACCAATCTATACCAATGTTGTGAAGTGATTGCGTTGGATTGGTACTAGCAGTTTCTTCCTAGAAGCTTTTACAGCTCTCCCAAATGTTGCAAGGGTACCCCCCTTCCAGGGTGCCACTGGAGCATTTCCTCCTTCCTTCCTCCCTCATTTCTCAGCACCACGAGGGCCAGGCTTGGCAGCTGAGGACCTCTGCCCTGCTTCCCCTAAGAGGTGCTCAGGATTCTCTCTGAGTAGAGAAAATGAATTTATAAATTGACAGACATAAATTTATGTTTTGAATACATTCCCAAGAGAGCTTAAGTTAAATCCCCAATTTGTGAATTAAGGAATTTGGTTTTTAGTATACACGTAAACCAAAAAACATAAAAACTCTTGATAGTATCTCCATACGTGAGTAACTGAGGAAGATAGTTTCTACGATGTAAAACATAACTACAATGGAAGTCACATGATGGTAGGATCGAAGGAACCTGAGAAGTCATTTATCCCAAAGCCCACCTGATGTCAAAAGACTTATTGAGTGATTGATATTGTGACAGAGTAGGCATACATACAATGCAAATATAATCTTTATGTATTACAGTGGCATATTTAATAAACTCCACATATTAAATTCAAGAAGTTCAACTTGGAATGCATCAGCAAAGAGAGTAAAATGTCATTTCAGAAACCAATAATATTTTGCTATGAACAACTCTCAAAACATAATGGCCTATCCTTCATGAGATTGAGGTTTATAGCTGGAGTCTAAAATGCTTCATTTATAGGAGTAAAACATTTTCTGTTTGAGGAGAAAATAAAATAAATCCAAAAAAGAAAGAAAAAAGAAATTTTAGATGACAAGTTACTAAGTACTTGCATCAGTAAAATCAATTGAGGCATCAGCTATACTTCTTTTTCCCAAAAATCTTACCATTTTCCTTTCAAGCTAAAAATATCTTCAAGTGTATCTTATGATTTTTCTAAAAGGAAACCTTTTCTAAGTATGAATTTAAAAGCAGGAAATGGATTAGGATCAAATCTTTGTTTGTTAAGTGCTTTTATTGTATGTATATTTTTTGTGCCTCCTTGAAGTTGATTTTATTTTCCCTCTTAAAACTTCTAATAAAACATGTCCATTTCTGATTCCATTGTGGTATTTGTTCAGTGAATTTCTGAAGCCTCAGAAACCTGGAGTCTGAGTTTGGGCTAATAGGAATTTTCTTGAAGGAGAAAGGAGTTAAGAGAAAAGTATCTTTTTCAGTCCTTAATTTTTTTTCTAACAACTATCATCTCAAAAAGCCATCATGATAGAAGAATAAGAGTAATATTTCACAGTTCTGTTTTTAAAAGAGCTCCTTGTATAATCAATGTCGTTTGTCTTCACGGCACACCTGGGACAAAACCACTGAATCACCTTTGGAAAAGGAGGTAATATAAAAAGTTAAGTAACTTATATAAGACCACAGCACCAATAAATGCATAATATGAATTAGGATACATAATCCCCAAATATCACAATAACTTTGTGAGGTAGGGACTATTAGTACCCCATTTACAGGGTAGGCATCTGAGGCAAGGCTTAGAGAAGTTAACAGATTGTCCAGCATCACCAAGCTAGTAAGTGGTAAGTCCCAATCTCAAAACCAAATCACCACGATCCAAATATGGAGCTGTCTCTTGCCCCCAAGCTTATAAAACAGTGCTCTGCATCACAGCCAATCCAGGTGCGTCTCTGTGAACATATGCGCCACTGATTTGCCTCCACAGGCGGCTTACCAGACTAATAACAAGGCCAAGCCTCAGGTAGATAATGAGCTCCAAAACCAAAAGGAGGAAATCAGAGATAGTAACAGGAAAACTCTTCCTTCATTCTGGAACACAGTTCATATTGATTAAGAATGGGTTCTTTGTTAAGGGGATCTGTTTTTTCTAGGATGAGAAATTATTATTAAATTATAAATATTAAGAAGCTGCAGCTGAAGAGATGTGTCTGTTGATGAATAACAGCTGAAGAGATGTGTCTGTTGATGAATAACTGCTTCCTCTTAATTCTGTTGTTCAGTAAAAACTGGTAGTAATTCTTTTCCAGAATATCTGGTCTAAGTTTTGAAAGTAACAGTAAAATCGTACAGTGCAAGTATTTGCTTACAACAGCTCTATAGCTCTCCTTTTATCAATTTGAGAGCTCTCCTCTGAGAACACGGTCACAGCGTGTCTTCACAAGGAGAGATCTCAAAACCAAATCACCACGATCCAAATATGGAGCTGTCTCTTGCCCCCAAGCTTATAAAACAGTGCTCTGCATCACAGCCAATCCAGGTGCGTCTCTGTGAACATATGCGCCACTGATTTGCCTCCACAGGCGGCTTACCAGACTAATAACAAGGCCAAGCCTCAGGTAGATAATGAGCTCCAAAACCAAAAGGAGGAAATCAGAGATAGTAACAGGAAAACTCTTCCTTCATTCTGGAACACAGTTCATATTGATTAAGAATGGGTTCTTTGTTAAGGGGATCTGTTTTTTCTAGGATGAGAAATTATTATTAAATTATAAATATTAAGAAGCTGCAGCTGAAGAGATGTGTCTGTTGATGAATAACTGCTTCCTCTTAATTCTGTTGTTCAGTAAAAACTGGTAGTAATTCTTTTCCAGA